CAGGCCTTGGAACGAATCACCTCAAGCGAGACAATTTGTTGTGGCTACCCATAATTACCACTGATTAATTAAGCAAGTCCTTGCTTCTTTTTTCATCATTTTCATCTTCTATAAAATATCTAGAGGGAATGCTTTGCCCTTTTGACTATTCTTGCAGCTTCATTAATGTCAATTCTGGTTGCGCTACAACAAAACATTTGTTGCTTGTGCAACAGTATTATATTTCTGTTGGAAGTGAAAGTCGTGTAAAGAGGAACATAATTTGATAATGTGTTAAGAGCTCAAAAAAATAGACTGCAGGAAGGAAGGATAAGTAGAAGAGTATCCTACAAGATGAAAGTAGACAGTGGTTAGGATTGAATAAAGAAGACATTAACGAATATTGGTGACTGCAACTAAGCAATCAAGATAGCCTAAAGTGTATTTCTAATGAAGCCCTCAAAAATGTTTGGTACCAATTGCATTTAAACTGATTTTCTAAAAATATCTTGGCATGAATGCACAAAATTAAAGGTGGTAAAGACAAAGACTCGAATTGGTCCTTTTAGCTATTGGGCAACTAAAAGTGAAGAGTCCACATAAGCTCTAAAAAAGTTAAGTCACGTATTACTCAACGTTTCCCGTAAGCCTTTTATGCGAGGACCATTGCTTTCGGGTGAAACGTTTCTCATAAGCCTTTTGTTCGAGGACCATTGTTTTCGGGTGACAGTACAAGCTACTTTACAAGGGACCTTTCACTAGCAATGGCCATTCATGAGGAGGTGTAGACCAAAGAATTTTTTAAAACTATCTCAAATCCCTCTTCGATACTGCTAGACAGTTTATTGGACGATACATGATGAAAATGCAGAACAGCTTACGACGACAGGTTTCAAAAATGCCTGATCCGAGAGTCGAACTTACTACTGCGCCAAATTGATTCTACCGTGCATTATAGAGCTACCCACCGTCGAGATACTTTCATGGAAACGAGGTTTAAAACATCCTTCAAAGCGGTTTAGCAGATATGGAAGGGAGATTTGATACAGCCTTTCTAAAAGACATCTTTAGTCACTAGCATGATCATGATTTAAAAATTCTTTGTTGAATTGTAAAACCCTGGTAAATAGATGAGATTGATTTTTTTGAAATTTCCAACATTTAAAGTAATTAGAATAGAGCGAGTTTATCCGTAAAACACCTTCATAGCATTTTCTTCCATTTGAGGGTATATGGGCCAAGAGGTTACGCACGCGAGCAAATGGGTAAATTTTCCGCTAGGTTTATCAAGATTTTGAGAGCCCTTACATGTATTAACTATAAGTTATATTGAGCTATTTAAAATTCTTCTATTTTGTCTTCTTATCGAAAAGCAAAAATTCGTTTGTCTGAGCCCTTTTCCTTCTGTTCTCCACTTCGCATGGCTGATTCAAGGTTGAGTTTATTTTCATATCTTAAGTGATCTTCGAGATACATGTCAGAAGCTAAGGTACTTTTCGAAAAAGGAGATATTCTATATACCTTCTGCAAGACTACCAGGCATAGGAGGCTTTAGAGAGAATGTGCATTGTAACGACAATCAGAAAACATTTGGTGCACAACTTGGGGCAAATCTTACGCACATAAATATTAAAATATAGCATGAGCTGAGTAAATGAACTTGTGTAACGAATTTCCAAACAAAAGGTCCTCACACAAACGTGATTAAGCTTTTTGCTTACCATCGGAAAAATATGTAACGATCCTTTTAAGATTAATTTGTGGAAGTACATTTACCTCAAATCAAGCATTTAATTTTCATGGCGATGCCCAGAAAGAGAGAAGGAATTGCATTATGGTTTTACTTCAAAATACTAGCCGTTTTCGGTAGTTCTGGTTTGAAACTAAAGTGATGTGCAACTTTTTGCGAGATGTCGTAAGCACCCAAACGATCAGTTGGACCTATTTAAAACCTTCTTCCATATAAATCTTCTTTGTATAAGATGAAAGATCCAAGTTTGATTGGGCAAAAGCGCAGCGTCCTCGCTGGCCTTCCTCTTTCGATCTATAGGCATTAGCAATGGATAGGATCTTGATGAGCGCTTGTCAACTTATCATTTCCTCTCTGAGAAAGAGCTTGACTTAAACCTATAAAGCTTCTATTTGCAGCAATGAGAAACGCTACGCTGCGTTTCGTTGTTGCACATATGCTACCCCAGTTTCATGAGTTTTTTATGGTTGTGGGCAACGGATATGAAGATTGCGGCAAGTTTCTTGGAATCAAGCACTTAAGATAACTTTGTACATAAGTTTTCATTCCGTAATGCCTCCTTCTTCAGTATAATCGTGCTGAAGTTCAGATGTTTCTCTATAAAGATCCACTTGCAAAAAAAATTTGCTTACCATCCCTGTTGCCCATTGATTTTCCATGGATGTAAGGTAAATTATACAAGTACATAGTCATTTCATCTTAAGGAACTTGGTTAGTTTATCGAAACAATGAATCTAACTTCAACTTTCAACTTTGGGTCTTATCTAATTGCTCTTGGTCACATGTCTCTCGTGCCTTTTCCCCGAAACAGCAAGACAAATTAGTATGTTTGCCAAGAATCGTTTCTGATTCACTATCTTTCATAGGCTTTATAAACAGTGTCGTCTTAAACTAGAATTTTGCAAGCCCAAGCCTATCTTACCCGAAATTTTTCCTCAGAAACAGCTCATCATTAACTTTTCTACCAACTCGGCTTAAACCTCAGCATACATGTTTCATGATATCCACGCAACGTGGTAGAGTATAAAAAGATGCAGAATCTGGTCCACAACTCCTAAAACGTCTGTCGAACTTTTGGAAAAGATGTCA